TGCCACCCCGCTTGGGCGCCCAATTCCGATGAGAGTTGTTTCGGTTTCGGAGTGCGCATGAGAGCTTCGGAGACTGGGGCCTTGGGTCGGCCGCTCCAGTTTTTCTTTTCCCACCCGCGCCCATAAAGGGCGGCTCCCACCCTTAACCAGCTCCGCCTTTTAGGGTTTAGTTTCCTAAACTCTTTTTTCCTTTCGGAGGGTTTTTTCTTTCGCAAGGTACGAGACGCGAGTTCTGCAGCAATGCATGCGGTCGTATAAGACGCGAATGCTGCAGCAACGCATGCCTTCTAAGGGTGAGTGTCCTAAACTCGTTTTGTTTGAGCGGACGTGACGGCTGGCTTACAGGAGCCAGAAGGCTATGCTGAAGCATAGAAATACGATTTGTCCCAGGTTACCACAGAACCCTGATATGCCGCATCGTCGGGTTCATGTCGTCGTCTGTTAGCTTAGCGACCAGTTAGTGCATTGAATCATGAAAATCGCATGCTACTGAGACACAAGATCATAAGCACAGGCTAGACGCGCATTGTCCAGATAGCTGCTGCCTTAGATGGGATGCTTCGAGCTTGCAAGACTTGCATACTAACCGAGTCCACGTTCTTGACCGAACCCTGTAATTCGCATGCTACGATCCAGCTAAACAAGCGCTTCAATATCTTTGTCAGCTTTATTTTGCCAGCAGGCCAAACCTCGCATGCACAACGCGCGTGAAACATCAGACTTAATCTTGCTGTGTTGGCCGCAGCGTGGCGGTCCGCGGGAGTGCTTGGGAATACCAGGGTTTTCGGCTGCAGCGCGGCGGCCTCGCGGGAGTGCTTGGGAATACCAGGGTCGTCGGCTGCAGCGTGGCGGCCCGCGGAAGTGCTCAGGAACACCAGGGTTTAAGGTTTAGGCTCGGGTTCTTCAGGTCTTCGGATTTGCGTGTAGGAAGGACAAGGCGTTACGGTGGTGATGTTCGAAATAAGATAATTGCTGCTGTTCTAAGGGTGTTGCTGCTGTTTTTTGCTGTCGTCATCACTCATGCTGCTGCAGATGTTTTTGCTGCTAGTGCTCGTCTTAAAGTACTGCAAGAAGAAACAGTATGTCGCTACGATTATGATGATGATGAGGGTGGTGATGATGACCTTTAATAGCTATAGTTATGGGAATTATGACATCATTCGGTGCTGAATGTCGTGGTGGCGCGGATGATGCTGATGGTGACGATTACATGGAGCTGATGATGACCCGAGGTGCAAACCAAGCCACGGAAACACTCCACTTCAATAATCACAAGCAAACATGCAACCCACCGCAAGCAACCCCATGCCGAAGAGCTGCAATGTGTAGGTTTGAACGCAAGCAAGTAGCAGATGTCATAGATGGAACCTTGAACCGCAGTCCGCCGTATGCTCACGAGTAACAGTAACACAAGAGCTTCTCCCGGCCAGGAAGCCAGCGACACCTTCAGCTCGACGTCGAGCAGAAACGGATACGGAAAAAGAGGTTTGTTGCCCCGAGCTTTGCAGAGCAAGTCGCCGCTCGAAGCTTATTGAAACTACTACCTGACATCGTCCGAGAACCGATGATTAAACATGAGTCGGCCTAATCCAGCCTTTAAGCTGCTGTTGCCGTGAGTCGCCTAAGACGATAGCACTATTTACAGGTTGTATCACGCAAAAGCTCAGTTCACGAAGTTGGAGTTTTCGTTGTTCGTGTAGTTCCGCTTAACTCCGCCCTACCCTCCGGCATCATGAGCAAGAGCTTCTGTTCTCAACAAAATAAGCTTCCCGTCGCTCTAATTTGATTCTACGGCAGCAATCTCCGGAGTTGTAGGCGGCCGAGAACTGCCAACGCTGCCAGAAGATGGTAACTGAGCAGCTGAGTTATGCAGTTTGGCGACTTGTAGTCGCCTCGCCAGGCGAAGCTCTTTGGATGTAAGCAGTGAGCGTCACGACTTGCATCGTGCCTCTGCCGGGCCTGCTTTTGTGTGGTTTCCTCCTTTTCCGGCCTTGGACGCCGGAAATACCTGAAAATTTGAGGGGCCTTGGAAATGGCCTCCGGAAAAGGAGCGGGTACTACAAAATCAACGATTTTGATGCTTTTCTGGGGTTTCCCCCATTTCGGGCCTTGGAAAGCTTCGACCGGAGAAAATTTGCCAAAAACAATCCTAGATGGCGAATTCGGCGGCCCGGAAATCCTTGAAAATCCGAGGGGCCTTGGAAATGGCCTCCGGAAAAGGAGCGGGTACTGCAAGATCGACGATTTTGATGCTTTTGTGGAGTTTCCCCCATTTCGGCGGCCGGAGATTCCTGAAAATCCGAGGGGCCTTGGAAATGGCCTCCGGAAAAGGAGTGGGTACTGCAAAATCGACGATTTTGGTGCTTTTGTGGGGTTTCCCCCATTTCGGGCCTTGAAAGCAGGAAATCCTTGAAAATCCGAGGGGCCTTGGAAATGGCCTCCGGAAAAGGAGCGAGTACTGCAAAATCGACGATTTTGATGCTTTTGTGGAGTTTCCCCCATTTCGGGCCTTGGACATCTGGGCCGGCTGACCTCTTTTGGTCAAGCAAGAAACCACGTAGCGATGCACCTCTGTTTTCGACCGAGACTCCTGCAAGCTAGACTGCGAAGAAGCCGCATTGGTGGAGCAGGACGAGACTTCCCCTTGCGGGACGTTGTTCCTCACACACGCACGCACGTCTTGCGCTACACGGGTGGCTCTTCCTCCGAGGCACCGACTCCAGGAAAGCGATCCTAGCTTCCAGGGCAGGGTCGGCGTGGCCTTCTCGGCTGGCCGTATTTCGGAGTGCCTGTGCGACGGGCAATATACACGTCCTCGACCGGATTGCACATGTGTGTCTTTCGAGGGCCTCCAAGACGTTGAGGTGCTCCGTGCGAGTCAGGACTGCGTCGCCCAACCTGTCAGTCGCGCGTTTAAGTGTCCCTCTGCGGGTGTGTGTGTGTGTGTGTGTGTGTGTGTGTGTGTGTGTGTGTGTGTGTGTGTGTGTGTGTGTGTGTGTGTGTGTGTGTGTGTGTGTGTGTGTGTGTGTGTGTGTGTGTGTGTGTGTGTGTGTGTGTGTGTGTGTGTGTGTGTCCGTGTGTATAGGTATGTGTGTGTGTGTGTGTCTTTACATAGCAGGCCCTGCTCACGCAACAACTGTTGATTTCGGAGCTGAGGCAGCAGCGAACAGAGACACAAGACCAAGGCAAGCATCGTGTCAAATGACGACAGAGGGGCGGCGTCTGCTTCCAAGGGTCGAGCTCGAAATGGCTATGGACTGTAGGGTCGACAAAAGTCGTGGTTCTGTGCACCTGGCTTGCAAGTCGAGATGCACGCATGGACGTGTCGCCCGCAGTGCGCAGGGATTTTGGCGCGAGGCTTGGGGTTACAATGCCGCAGACAGTCACAGCACTCGAAAGATACACGGGGACAGTGTCCGCGCCGTGTCTAGCTGCATCGTCATCATACGAACAGGGCGCACTCAGATCCGGTGCACGGCTCGTTGCGACCGGGGCCGGCTGAGAGTCAACACCTGTGCATCTCGACTGGAACTTGCGCTCTGCACTTTACCTTGCGGGACCTCTGTGGGCAACAGGTAGGAGACTCGGATGCGTAGCATCTGATACCTGGCCTGACAGGCCAGTGCAGTTCGCTCCGCACTCTGCATCCGTCGCAACATCCGGCATCTGGTTTTTCTGACACAGAGACCGGGCCGGAAAGAGGTACACGCCGGAAGGGAAGTAGTGCACAGAAGCCGTCTCCTGTCGGTTCGGTCATGTCTGCTGCAACGCCGGCACCCTGCGGCGCCGCGTCCTGTCCGCCGAGAACCAGGAAGTATCCGGCTGCGAGCGGCACCAGCTTCGGCAACGCACGCCCCTGCCCGGAGCTCGTGCGCAGGACTCTCTTCCGCATCCTCGGGGCCCCGGCACGCAGACCAGGATGCAAGCCGCCGACTCCGCTTGCCTGTCGTACAGCGGCATAAGACTAAGTGTCGGCAGCAGTGGGAGCAGGCCGCCGACGTGCGCTGCAAACCGACCTCGTCATCCGTCTCTGGAAACAGCCGAAACCGGGTCGCCGCCTGCGATTCGGTTTCCGCCGCTGTTACTTCTGCGTGGCCGCTCCATTCTAGACAGCTGACATATGTTCCAGAGGCGCCTTGCCTCTCTGCGTCTCCGCGCGTTATGCCTGTCGTGGGGTCCGTGTCGGCGGCGTGCAGCCTGAAAGCCGACGAAGCAATGCCACGGTCGGGTCTCTGAAAGAAAGCAAGTTGGCGCTGAGCGATGCGTTCCCCGCCTGGGCCGGTGCGGCCGCGACGTTCATTGTGGACCCTGCAGACCAGTCGGATGCAAACGCGGGGCTGTGCTGTTACAGAGCGATGATGTGTCGAACGATATGTGACAGAATATCGAGCGCGCCGCGGGAGCGTTGGCTCGGATGGAGGGGGAACGAGCGGTGCTAAAGTCTTGATCTCAACAGGCTTCGGGCCTATAGTAGTGGGACATGAGTGCAACAATCCAAACCATTCGGTTGCAGCAACTACATCTCTGAGAGCAGAAACTAGATATACGTGTGCGCGACACAGCCATTCTTTGTGTTCGACCCGCTCGCGCAGCGCTTGCAGCGAGGGAGGTCTACTCCGGCGGCTCGCTGGTGCCGGATGCCTGATCATGAGCAGTCGACTTCAGTCCCCGCTGCTTGCAGGTTGACTCTGTGCTCTGTATGTGCTACAGCAGCTGCTCACGTAGTGCTCAGGTTCCTGCTGTCGCCCCACCGAGCGTGGCAGCCCAGGCCTTGTGTGTTCAAGCTGCACATGTAAGCCACGTGTACTCGACGACGCTTGACTGGGTCGCGTGCCACCAGATCTGGGCGGTGAGGGGGAGGACTCAATGTCCATTCCCCGCCCATCTTCTTTGCCCAGTTCTGGTCGGCCCCGGTGACGCGCACTTCCTGGGACGTCCCGATATTGGCGACTGCATGCACCGAGCGTTGCAGGAGCTGGGCCGCGCACCACGTGTGTCACGAAGCCGTCCCGCGGCACCACCGCGAGCAGACGCTCCTTGGCCCAGGTGGTGAACTTCCGGGCCTGGCACGCAACGTCGCGACGAGATTATAGAAACACCCTAACGCAGCAATACACAGCGACCGCTGGACGGCCTTCCGGAGCTGCTTCGCGGTCGCCGGGCGCCGCGCGCCCGTAATGCTTAGGTCCGCGTCCTGGCGAGCTTCCGAGGTGAGCAATCCGCTCAAAACCATCTTGCCGCACCGGCGGCCTCGGCCAGTGTGAAAGTGGCGTGCTCGCCAGGATCGATGGCAGCGAGGACGCGGACTTGGCCCGGCTTGGCCTCGCTGGCCCGGCTGAGTGTGACGCGCCGCACAGAGCCCGCCTATAACCTAACGGGCCTTGGCGAAAGCAAACCACAGGGCCACCAGGAAGTCGCTCGTGAAAGATAACCACGGCGACTCCTGCAGTTCGTGAGTCAGGCACAACACACGACACCGGTCCTCCTATAGCCGGTCCGCTTCGCCCGACGAGCCCGCCTTGGGGTTGGTGGCGATATGTTCTGCCACCGTGATGTCTGCGTCGCCTCGATACGACTCCGTCGGCCTACATTTCGAAGACTGTGGCGTCAGGTCCACAACATCGGCCTTTCGCCACGCGACAGTGCTCGAGGCAGTCGGCGCCGCGCCAGAGGAGGCCTGGCACTGCCAACTTTTGACAAGCGAGCGTTTACGCACATGGGGGCATTGCACGCGCTTGCGGGTCGCTTAGCCGTGGACCCAGAGCCAGCTCCTCGGATTCGCGGCGCTCGACCGCCTCGAGCCTGCGTTCCACCGCGTCTCCGCGCAGCATGCGGAAGAACTCCTGTCAGCGCTGCCGTGACGTAATCCGAGACTCGTAAAAAAAAGAGTCAGACTGTGAAGGTCTAAGCTCGCGGCCTTCATGGCTGCGCTATGAGCCAGGGCACCGTACTTCCGCTCCAACTTGGCCCGAGCGCTCAGTCCGACGTATACCGTATGCTTGCGTGGCAGTGTCTGTGTGACGAACGTCGATCGGTTCTTGGCTCCAGGCACGCGCGAGGATCTCGGCGGCGGGGTGCCCAGCGTTGGCCATGTTGTAGGCGTCGCGGATCACCTCCAAGGTCATCCAACATATATAGAACGGCCGCGGGCGGGTGAGGTGCGAAGCCAGTCTACTGAGCACCCGACGAGCTGAAGGTACGCCATCCTGCAGGCCTGGGCTCGGCGCCAGCGGAGTTGGTTTGCTGCACAGGTGCACGTCCATGGGGAAGGCACGCTGTCGAACGACACGTCAGCTGAGCTCGCTGCACGGTGGGTGCACCGAAACAGAGGGACGAGGCAGCAGTGGCTGGGGCTACTTCCGAAATACTGCGGCGAAGAGACCGTCTCGTTGTCAATGCAGTCTCGATCACCAAGCAGGGTGTGAGCATGGCAGATGCTGATCGTTGAACACAGACTTTTTTTCTGGGCCTGTGCGGCTGGTAGTTAAGCGCTCAGGGGCCGGCGGCTGTCCTCCGACCTCGAAGGTGTGGAAGACGCACACAGCTCTCGGCTCGACCGCTCCTGCTGGGGTTCGGTCTCGTCGTCGGTCGGCGGGAGGTTCCACCTCCGTTCGGCTGCGCTGTACTCTCGATGCCTACAAAGTTGTTTATCGGATCGGGCCCGCGCGAGTCGGGCGGCACCCACACCAGTGTCAGGCGGGTGCTGCGCAGCTGGCCAGCTTCAGTGAAGCGGCCTGAGTAGATGCGACTCCCTGCGATTGAAGCAAGATTTTATGAGCCTGTTTGGGTGCACGGCCGACCATCTTCTGATCCGAGTAGACCAGCACCGCCGTGGCATCCTCCTTCTGGACCGGAAGGAACTCGTAGACCCGGTCGTACCAGAAGAGCTGACAACAGGACACTTCGGCAACGAATGTCGAAGCACCCATGCACAGGGCGGCCTCGTAGCGGTGTACTCGCCCAGACAGTGTCCGCAGGAAGATGCGTCGCAGCCTAGCGGTTTCGAGGAGTAGCGATCTTATGTAGGACCATAGCGCACCGAGTCTGGGGCGCCCGCAGTCCGGCCACGTGTTCTCGCAGACGCCGCCTCTGCGCCTTCTTCAGATACGAAGCACCTGCGAAGACAGAGCGTATACGGGAGGATCAACGCATATGATTCCGCGATAGAAAGATCAGAGGTCCGAGCGAACCATGGCAGCTGGGTACCTGGACATTGACGACAAGCTTACTCAGGTTAGGGACGATGCTGCATCGGCCCGCCTTGCAGACGGACACCAGAACACAAGAGCTAAGGAGCTGTCGCTTCTTGGTGCTTGAGCAGTGCCAGTCCGGATCTGGATATCATGCGTCTTAGCAAGTGTGCGTCCTAAGACTACGATGCGCACTTCTTTTTCTGCTCGCATTCTCTCTATAGGCGATGTTTTGCCGGGATTGGCTGCGATGCCTGTACCTCGGCTCCAACGTGGGCAGTTGCTTTGAAGACTGTTCACGAATCCAAGCCGCACGGCAACGAACTACAGCAGGAACTTATCTGCAGGCGAGAGACCCACGTCGCGATCTGCGTTGCCTTGGATGCGAGGTACTACCACGACAACAACCACGCCGACAACCACAACAACAACAACAACAACAACAACAACAACAACAACGACGACAACAACAACAACAACAACAACAACAACAACAACAACAACAACAACAACAACAACAACAACAACAACAACAACAACAACAACAACAGTAACAACAACAGTAACAGCAACAGCAACAGCAACAGCAACAGCATCAACAACAACAACAACAACAACAACAGCAACAGCATCAACAACAACAACAACAACAACAACAACAACAACAACAACAACAACAACAACAACAACAACAACAACAACAACAACAACAACAACAACAACAACAACAACAACAACAACAACAACAACAACAACAACAACAACAACAACAGCAACAAGAACACCACCACCACCACCAACGACAACAACTACAACAATCGCAACGGCAACGGCATCAACAAGGGAGGTGCTGTCGCTACCGGTACTGGTTGGTTCTACGGAAGCACAAAAAAAGCAAAATTACCCAGGCCTGGTTCCCCCCGAGCCGTCAGCGCCACCTGACGGTCTCGGAGGGATTCCTAGCAGTCTCGGACCTTAGTGTGGACCACAATGCGAAAGTACAGGTGGCGATGCCTGCGCTCCGCACGTGGTCCCTTACCTTAAGGTGATTGCAAAAATGGCAGAGCAGACACAAAAAGTACTTTAGCGTTTGGCCGCGAGGCGCACGGAAAGGGCGAAAAGGCAGACAACGGTGCGACAGTCGGCCCTGAAGATAGCAGAGTCCTATACTGGAGCATGCACACGAAAATTAAGGAGCACCAAACGGCGAGAAATGGCACAAAATCAAAAATAGAAACATGCGAAAACCAGCCTTTTTCAACAAACCCGGAAACGGCAGATCTGCAAAACTATAGGCGTTTCGTATGTTTTTCCGAAAGCGCAGCCACGGCAGCAGTGCGTATACAGCTCAAAATCCCTTGTCCGGGGGGTCTGGGGGTGTCCGGGGGTTCCCGGAGACGGCTGTCCGGAGCGACGTCTTGGGGTGTCCGGGGGGGCCCCCCAGACACCCCGGACACCCCGGACACCCCCGGACGCCCCCGGACACCCCCGGACACCCCGGACATTCGCGACTTGGGCAGGAAGTCTTACTTCTTACACCCAGAGACGACAGCCGAGGTGCGAAACAGGGTCGGGCCCAGCAGGGTGAAGCAGACAGGGCTGCTTCCATGCCGACTCCAAGCCGCTTAAGCCCTGAGCGTTCGGCCTCCAAAGATGCAAGAGCAAGAGACGAGTTCGGTAGCGAGTCTTCGCTGTTGAAACACTTATATAGAGGGCTCCAGTTTTCCACAGGGTTAGAAGCAAGATTCCTGTAGCCTCAAAGTGCCGCAGCCAGTCGGGACCCAAGCACAAACACTGTCACAGTCATGATGTGCCGTCGCTTCCTTTGCCGGCACCTGAGCCGGGTGGCGGCGAAAGTTGAAAAGACCATTTGCCTACTCATAGCGGCAGGGCTTTCCACGCTGGTGGCAGGCCTCTGCGACAGAGCATCATGTTTAGTTTAGGCGGAGTGGCAGATGCGCTGTGCAGGCCTAGTTGCAGCGGGTGCGACACCGTCCGAGGCCGGCTGCAACAGACCTGCAAAGCAGATAAGCACATGTTTCAGGACGAGCGAGAAGTCCCAGTTCGCAACTCAGAGACGGATACCTTCGCATTCGCAGCAGTGCCGTCGCGCGAAGGCACCACCGCCTGAGGACATTGCCTGGGCATCGATACGACCAGTCTTGCAGAGCAGGGGGCCTAGATTTTGACCGTCGGAAACGCAAGTTGTTGTCGCAGCTTCCCTATGCCCTAAGACAGAATACCTTCCCCCTTTCTGCGAATCTTTTCTATGGCCTCAACCTCGAAACGTTGCAGCGGCCGAAGGAAATACTGCTGCACGCTCTTAAACGTCATCCTAAACCCCTAAAACTCTCAAATTAAACATCAATGCATATAGTATGCATAAAAATATTCTTTAGCTTATAAATGGAATTGAATCATACAGCAACGACCGAGGGAAATGCTCCTGTACGCTCTTAAATGTCATCCTAAACCCCTAAAACCCTCAAATAAAAAATCAATGCATATAGTATGCATAAAAATATTCTTTAGCTTAAAAATGGAGTTGAATCATACAGCAACGACCGAGGGAAATGCTCCTGTACGCTCTTAAACGTCATCCTAAACCCCTAAAACCCTCAAATAAAAAATCAATGCATATAGTATGCATAAAAATATTCTTTAGCTTAAAAATAGAGTTAAATCGTATAGAAAATACAACATAAATCCGGAAAAAGAATAATATGAAGAACACGAAAAATAAATCCAATGGTCACCAACTTGACCCGATGCCATTTTTTAGTTCATAAAGCAAAGTTTTCGAATGCTAGAAGCTGAGAGACGACGAAGCGGAAAGACTTAGAAGCTAAAAGTCGACAAAGTAGGACCTTCACAAGCTGAGACAAACCCGGAGGGACTTAGCGGCAGGGGCCTTAGAAGCTCGGACTTTGAGAAGCTGAGAGGCCGAAAAGGAAGCTGAGAGACTACGAAGCGGAGAGACTTAGAGGCAAGGGGCGGAGAAGCTCGGACTTTGAGAAGCTGAGAAGCCGAGAAGAGAAGCTGAGAGACTACGAATCGGAGAGACTGTGAGGGAAGGGGCTGGAAGGCTCGGACTTTGAGAAGTTGAGAGGCCGAGAAGAGAAGCTGAGAGAC